CTTGCCACTGCACTCCAGCCTAGGCAACAGAGTGAGACCCTATTTCAAATAAATCAAAATAAAAAAGAAAGGAGTCTCTTTCACCAAGGATCCCGGAGTGTACCCTCCACCTCAATAGACATGTAGCATGAGCAAGAAATAAATTATTGTGCTAATCCATTGATATATGAGGTTGTATGTTACTGCAGCATGACCTAGCCTATACTACTAACCAGTACTCTTCCTCAGATTCACATAAGCTAATATCTCTCCAAATAATACATTTTCTCTTCATAGGTGAGTAGTAAAGTATCGAATAGTAAACATTTTTAAACTGGCTTTAAAATAATGGTAGACTCTTCTATTTCAAAAGCCTCCATGAGCCGTTCTTTGCAAGCAACCAGATATATATATATATATATATATGTATGTATATATATATATATAGTAAAATAACACATTTGAAACCACATGAATGATAAAATTTTATATTCATCACACATTTTACATTGTGAGGACATGATCCATGAGCATAATGAGAGCATTTAGTAAGTTCTTATTCTAATGAAATCCAAAGGAATTATCAGGAAACTACCAGTGTAGAAAACTGATTTTAACCGAACTTTGAAATTAGTGACTAGAACAACTGGGCTCAGAAATGATTACTTTGTCAGTTATTTCTAATGGTTATATGACTTGCTGGTTTTTTTCAGCAATACTGGGTTTTTCCATCATTCAACAAATTCTTATTAAGTGGCAACTCAGGCATTGAAAAATATAAGGATAAGTAAGTCACATATCTGTCCCTTGAGGAACCAATCACCAAGCAGAAAACAAAAATCCCTACTAGTAGAGGCAGTTTTACAGGGAAGAAAGTATTTGTTATTATCATTAGATGAAAAAAATACTCTGTGATCTGATTGCTTAAGAATATTACTATCTAGATATTATGGAGAATTTCATGGAAGAGAAGTAATTTTAAAAGAAGTATTTTGGTGTCTTCTTTTATTGTAAACAAATTGGGATCTGAGTAAGATCTTGATGGCCAGAATCTAGAGAAGGAGGAGAACTTTCCTATGAGCATAGGAACATTGGTAGAGGGAATTTCAGAAGCAATGGGTAGGGGCATGCAAGGGGGAAATAAAAGACATATAAACTATAGGGCCAATATAAGAGCATAGGAATTAATGTTGAAAAGTAATAAAGGATTTATCATTCTACTTTGAAAGTATATCTCACAAATCTATGTTTTATTGCAGACTGTTTGCTCCCTGAGCTTAGGGGCTTCATCATTCATCTCTATGTCCCAGAAGAGCTTGGCTCAGAATTGTCACCAAAAATGAAAGAAGGCCTTGATAGAGATAATTTTCTGGGTCTTTATTCTTGTTTAAAAAAAAACAACAAAAAGCTAGATTCTGAGAGCCATGATTTTAAAATATTTCTTTCTACTATATAGAATAATTAGGAACAATTAGAATTAGGCAGTGTCTTAGTCTGTTAGGGTCCAATAACAAAATACTATAGATTGGGGGGCTTAAACTGCAAATATTTATTTCTCACAGTTGTGGAGGTTGGGACAGATCAAGGCAGATTCAGGGTCTGGTAAGGGCCACATTCTTGGTTCATAGATGACAGTCTTCTTGCTGCATCGTCACATGGCAGAAGAGGTGAGGGAGCTTTCTGGGGTCTTTTTATAAGGCCACTTATCTCATCCATGAAGACTCCACTTTTCTGACCTGATCGCCTCTCATAGACCTCACCTCTTAATACCATGAAACTGGGGATTAGATTCCAACAAATGAATCGAGGGAGTCAGGGCAGAGGAAGCACATTGTCTATAGTAGCAAGTCTCTTTAAGGAAAGCAGTGAATTGAAGGCCAAATATGATAGTTATATTCCATGATCATATTATTCTAAATTAGGATTTCTTAACTTTAAAAAATGTTATCAGGTTCTTTGGTTCTCATGAAGGCAATTGCACTTTGAAGAATAGTGTTTTCCAAACACATAAAATGAGATGTAAGGATTAAGACTATCTTAGTCTGCATGGGCTGCCATAACAAAATACTATGGACTGGATAGTTTAAACAACACGAATTTATTTCTCATGGTTTTGGAGGCTGGGAAGTTCATTATCAAGGTGGTACAAGATAGATTTTATTCTGTGTCCTCTTCTGGTGGCTTGTAGATGGCTGCCATCTTATTATGTGCTCACATGACCTCTTCTACATGTGAGCATGGGCAAAGAGAGAGAACTCTCACATATCTGTTCTTATAACACTGCTTCTATTGGATCAGGGCCCCACCCTTGTGATCTCATAAGCTTATGAGCAATATAAGCTTAATTGCCCCTTTATATTCCTCATTTCCAAATACAGTCACGTTGGTGGTAAGGATTTGAACATATAAAATAGGGGGAGAGGGGCACTATGCAGTCCATGGCACAAAGGAAATGAATATTACAATAGATTATCCAAATATTTTAAGAGTGTAATATAATAAAATATATACTTTATTAACACAAACAGTGGTGAAGTTAGTGTCTACTATACTTTAAAAGTAGCAATAAATGTAAATAATATCTTAAGATATGTGTAAGAACTGAAACGTAATATAGACATATCTGTGATTATTTGGTATTAAGTGTACCAAATCATAGGTATACTTAATATGACTATGGTTTGATTGAAATTGTCGTTAAATTAGTGGAAGACAAGATAAAATTTTTGTCCCATTCAAATTTGTAGATCAACTCTGCCCTTGTATCTTAGGACCTCTTGCTTTAGACCCTTTGTAACTGCTCAGGGGTCAAAGTGGCACAGAAAACAGCAAATATTTCATTTTTACTACCCTCTATATATCTACTGGGCTTTTATTGAGGAACATCTATATATATATGGGAGATCGAATGAATCTAAAACTTAATGCTCTCTAGTTTTCATGATACATGTGGCATTCAAAAGGCATGATCCATCAAAACTAGACTTAAACCATACATTTTGCTATTTGGTTGAGATACAGCCTTGAATGCCTGCCCTGAATTAACTTCATCAAAGCTTGTGATATATATCTTCCTAACTCTTTTGGTAGAGGTTTGAGTAGGAAATTGGGGCTGATTTAGTCATACCTTTAAGGGAATCAATCCAATGCCATTTTTCTTATTTTACCTTGAAAAGAGATGCATACCACTACTGTAGAGGAAAAAGAAATGTTACCCCTTCACACCTCAAAAGTAGTTTTCACTTCCTGACTCTGGGCCACTACTGAGTTAGCAGGAAATATTTAATTGATTGATCTACAGTATTTTTTATAATTTTAGCCTCTTTTGATTCTATTTTTTCCCTAAGACTAAGGATTTAACTTTTCTTTAACTTCAACAATAGTTTATAAGCATTTAGGAAAGTGGTAGTGTAGGCTGAAGTGCAAGAATTGACACAAAGGGAAATAAATTAAGTTCTTTTCCATTCTGTCTTTGGGAGACCAAAGTTTTGCAAAAATGTTAGATTTGTCACTGGCTTTCTAGACTTAGAAACATTCATCAGGTAAAATAGAGTTTTTTCCAAGTCTAATTATTGCATCAAATTATTTTCTGATGTCTTTTGTAATCATGATTACCGTTGGATTCATAGATGACTCAGTACAAAGATCTAGGTGTGCAATGTGTTCTGTCTTTAGCATAAACAGTAAATCAATTATTCTAGATTTCAGAGTCTCCTTTTGAGGATAAGACAACTCTGATTTCTTCAAAAGGTACTTTTATTACTTGTTTCTGACAAAATTGGTAAAGACGAGGAAAAAGATATGAAGCCCAAATTAGTCTGTTTTTCTACTCACTATAATAAAAATGATTGGACTAGAAATTACAAGTATTGAACTTGTAATATCAAAGAAACGACCATGGAGACAAATATGGAGAAACAATAAGCATTCTTTGTTGTTCTTTCCATTCTGTATGGTCTCCTGTATAAATGTGAAAATATCCGTTTATTGTGTCTATAGTAGCATTAAAATGTTTATCAAATGCTCAAATTACATAAAATATTAAATGTTCTTATTTTAAAAAGGTATTACCTTTGTTTTTTAAAAAAAGATATAACTTACAGTGCTAACCAGAATACCTATGAGTAGAATTAAGGCACAGAATATCTGTAAGAAGTGGTAAGTAACTTCATTATACATGTATTGTAAAGAAAAGACAGTACAGTATTACTCATCAAAATCAAATGGTTAAAAGGAATAGATAAGTTATACTTTACTTATAAAGAGTCAAAATATATTTATAGCATCAAAATCACGGAAAAGCAGATGTCAAAGTGAGCAAATACAGAGTTTTGTGTTCTCCAAAAAAAGTCAGGTAATCAATATCTCTAAACCCAAATAGTAATTGACAACTTATTGAGCAAAATAATCATGAATACTAAAAGAAGAGTGATATGGGGTAAACCAATGGGTTCTGAAAGACCTGAAGGTCTTTCAAGGGAGGCAGTTGCTTTAGGCTGTGATCTACTTTGTTTTCAGAAATGCAATCAGAGATTAATCAAATTCCAAGTCTTCTTATACCTTTATAAGAAAGAAGCAAATGTGGAAATAATAAACATAGAAAAGGAAATTTTCTCAAGAAAGCAATTGCTAGAACCACTTTTAGAAAAAGTACCTTTTTAGTCCTAAATTGCAATCATCTACTTTTTGAGTCTGTGGATTAGGGTTTTTATTATTATCAAATTTGTACTTCTCTACAGTACTATATTTTAAAGTAAAAAATAATTTATCAATTTTTTCGAAAAGAGTAGTGGAAATATGGATGTTTGTCAGTTTCCTTTTTTATATATTTTTTAGTAGTTTTGTATTTTTTAATTTCTAAAACAAAGTGAATATCAAATAATATTTAAAATATATCTATGGTCCTTTCATATCATTTGTACTTAGCCATAACCTTTAAGGTTCTGCGTGATTTAATTAATAGGAAGAATTGTTTTTGAGTTTTGTGTTGTTGATGTCATTTTCCTATTTTCTTGTGTCAGTGTTGATACGAGTAGCATTGGAAATGACACTGATCTGGGCTGTTCCAGTTCCTTAGATGCCTTACATACCTGTGAGTACCTAAATAAAAGTTTTTATTTGTTTTCATGTCTGATTTTTATGTGCAAAGCATAATATGAAATTAAATGTTCAACAGGGATGGTTACAAGGATATACAAAGTGTCCAGCCCTGGGGATTGCTGGCTGATTTGAGGCTGAAGCATAAATCCTGAGTCTTTTCCTTTGATGACCCTTTGTATGTCTCTGCATACATCTCTCCTTTCACTGCCAGTCTACTTCCCTCCAATGTACAAAGAATGTGTTTAGATATATGGCCTTTATGTCTCTTTGGCTTATTCCAAATTGTTTAAACTTATTTTTGGGACAGGTATCACCAAGTTTGGAGTTGTAAGGGGAGCATTTTATTTCATAAAATTACTTTATGAAACAATGATAGGTCTAGAAAAGATGGATGTAATGATCAGTAGAACAATTGGACATAGGAATGTTCTGGTTATCTAGAGCTACAGAACAAACTACCCCAAATACACTGTCATAAAACAACAAAAATTAGTAACGAGTGTCTCTCACACTTCTAGGGTGGCTGGGCTTAGCTGAGTGACTCTATCTAGCTCAGGTCAGATATACGCTGGGTCTTGAGTCATTTTAATCTTTTCCATTCACATGTCTGACTGTTAATGCTTCCTTTTGTTTGGGACATCTGCTGGGTCTCTTGATCTGAACACTTACCCATGGCCTTTCCATATGGCCCAGGCTTCTTTATGGGATCTCAGCTAAGTTCTAAAGTGAGGTGAGCCATAAAAGAAAGAATTGGCAGAACTGAGTTATATTATTTGATCTAGTGACAAAAATCATACCGCTTCACGTTTGCTGCATTCTAGCATATTGTTTGTAATCATCAAGTCACTAAGACTGGCCCACTATATCATCATATTTAAGGCAATATCAAAGAATTTGTGAACATTTTATGGACATGTTTTAAAACTGCTAGATAGATACATGGAGCTCCATGGCACAATAGGTTAGTGTGCTGTACTTATATGATAGATAGATAAAGGTATAGATAATACATCCTTTGTTTCCAGTTGAAGTTATCCATTGTACCCTGTGAAACATTGCATAGTCCACAAAAATTTGGAGATTCTTTGATGACCACTTTGCTTCATATATCCTGGCTAATTTTAAACAGTACTGAAATTCTTTGTAATGAAATTATGTATTAAGGAATCTTTATAGAGGGTCATAATTAAGCATTGTTTTATAACAAGATTGATCTGGGGGTCACTGTATTTTCATTAACAAATGTGTATATTATCTTCTAATCTTACATGCTAATGTTTTGAACATTTTTGATACCAAAACTTTAATTACTAAATGAACAGCAATAATTATATGTTAACAAGTTCTGTTTGTGTTTTGCTAGCAATTAAGTCCACTTTTGTTAGAGAGTTCTTCTGCTCCATGGAAACTGTTCACCTGGAGGTGAAAGCAACTTCTAGTCTACCGCTCTGCTTTCTTCCTTTTAACATCCACATACGCTATTGTATCATCATCCTGAGCAACAAAACGGTGAGAACATTATTGTGATCTGTGGGTTTATCACCAGCTGCTGCTTTAATGGATTAATGAACATCAGGTGACTTGGAGGCAACTGGAGACTCTAGAAATGTAGATGATTTCAGCTCTCAAGTTACTATGCAAAGAGCTTATCCTCAAGAATATGCATAGTTATACTAGTTGTGGGTAAATTTTATAATAGCTGCATAGAGCAGTCCCATGGAAGCAACGTGTAGGTATGCCTGACCTTTTTAATGGCTCTATTGGTATTAGTTATCTATAGCTGTGTAACAGATTATCACACACTAGGGGGTTTAAAACAACATATGCTTATTAACTCACAGTTACTGTATATCAAAGGTCCAGATTGACCAAGTCTCCATTCAAGGGATTGACCAGAGATGGATTGTCTCCAGAGGCCGAAGCAAGGAAGGATCTGCTTCCAAACTCTCCCAAGTTGTTGGCAAAATTCATTTCCTTATGGCTCTGGGATCCATACCACCTACATTTTCAAAACTAGCAAGGGAGAGGGAAAGAATTAGAGGGAGAGAGAAAGATATGAGAGAGAGAGACAGAGAGCGAGAGAGAGAGAGAGAGAGAGAGTGTGTGTTACCATCGAGGGAAGCTTTATAGCATTACTTGCTTCCCTTGATGGTAACTGAGGGAAGAGACACTGCCATATGTTGACCTTAGGAAGAAATTTATAACCCCCAGGATTTAGTCTTGAATTTATCATCAGTTATGTGTATGCTAAATTGAATATGTATAAAGTGAAATAATGGTAATTTGAAAGAGGTATTATACTAACCTGATGTATATGGCATTATTTACATGTGAAAAATAATATAGCTATTAAAAATGTAAGACATAGTTTAATTTTACACTTAGAAGAAAAAAAATGCCTTTTTATAGTAATGCTAAATCCTGTTTCATTAATTTTTTTAAAGGAGTTCAGGATTTGACTAAATTCCTGCATATATAAAATTTATAAAATGTAATAACTATATTTTGACCAGTAGTTTGATCAAATACTTCACAACCACTTTGTATTAATTTATAATATAACCCAAGAAAATACTAGAGTTAATTCTCAATAGCACAGTGACAAGGCTGATCTTATAATTTGACTTAGTCTATTGGAATATTAATATTAACTTACACAAATTTAATATAATCAAATATTGTTAACTTGTTATCTCAACTTACTAAAAACTATGTCTTGCTTACATATGTTTTGTCCTTTTCAGAGAACACATTAAAATAGAACAACAATCTTTAAATTTTACTGCTATCAATTGAGAAACAATGCCCTCAATACTAAGTATGGCATTGAATTAACATTTCTTACACGAAGAAGAACATTTATTAATTTACACATTCAATGATATTGTTAATTGTATTCAAAAATATAATCAATAATCAAATATTCAAGCTCACCTAGTTAGCTACTATTCTTATTAAGTGAGCCATAACTGCTCTACCATTAAGAAACACCTATTGGGTGGGCACAGTGGCTCACTCCTGTAATTCAGCACTTTGGGAAGCCAAGGTGGGTGGATCACTTGAGGTCAGGAGTTTGAGACCACCCTGGCTACATGGTGAAACTCAGTCTCTACTAAAAATACAAAAATCACCTGGGCGTGGTGGCATATACCTATAGTCCCAGCTACTCAGGAGACTGAGGCAGGAGAATTGCTTGAACCTGGGAGACAGAGGCTGCAGTGAGCTAAGATTGTGCCACTGCACTCTAGCCTGGGCAACAGAATGAGACACTGTCTCAAAAATAAAAAAAGAACCACCTATCAAAAATTGAAATTAGACTTCAACTTGATAGTTTTCGATGTATCAAACCGAAACATTGCTGCTAACACTGCTATCAAGCAAAGACTATTTCTTTCATTTTGGCTGTTCTATTTGAATTTTCAAATAAAAATGCAAATATTAAAGTAACAACTATTAGAAAAGTTTTATAAATCTTACATTAGCATTCATAGAAATTCTTTATATATATATATATATATATATTTCTTAGATATGGGGTTTTACCATATTAGTCAGGCTGGTCTCAAACTCCTGACCTTGTGATTCACCCACCTCAGCCTCCCAAAGTGCTGAGATTAGAGGCCGTGAGCCACTGTGCCCAGCAGAAATTCTTAACTAAGGGGGAAACCTATGAAAGCCATGAAAATTCATGCTATCAAATGCTAGGAAGCCAAAAAAAATTTTTGCTCCAAAGTGGAATGGGGCAAATTGGGTGGAGGAATTTCAGGGAGAATCAGCGCCCAGTCCCTCGTGAATTGTACCTTTTTTGTGGGGGGAGGGGTACAGACCCCTTTACAAAGCACACAGACATTGCAAAATACACAATGATGTATTGATAAAACCTTGGGGTTCTGTCTTCACTGTGGTGTTCAGCAGGTGAGCATCTACTCTGTCTGATCCTGGGTTTTTATGTAGTAAACCACTTGGCATTGCTGAGCTGACCTGTGTAAGGGAGGCAAGCGCATCAAACAGGATGCCCAACCTGGGGCTGAGTTATCAGTGGGTTCCAGTTGCAGCCATTTGCTGTGGTATAGCCAGCCCCTCCCAACAAACATTCAGTGTTTCTAATTGACTTGACCCAGAGCCTCCCTTCCACCTGGTGGATTTATCTTCTGTCCTTTTGTGTGCTCTGTCTACAAACCTTGGTTAGAAAAAATTGAGACCTAAGTCCAGGCATTGCTGAATTGAAGAAGCCAGAAGGGGAGTCAGCATCCCAGAAACTTATGTAAGTTGGTCAGCCCCACACCAGGGTGCCATATACCAAGTGAGTTTCAGCCTTGCCAAGTCAAGTTGGAGGTTAACAGGGAAAGCATGTCCACTCCCAGGTAGAAGACCCTGGAAGGCTTTCTTGTTGATTTATGGTCTATAGCAACTTTAGCCTAAAGCTATTAAACACCATTTGTTAAGTATGTTAAATGTCACTTTGGCCATCTCTCATATATTTACATAAATCAATAGGGCCACTTGTCTGGTTTTTTCCACTACCAGTCATTTCATTCTCTTTCAGTCTTTTGTATCTTCCTGTGTCTGGTGATGCAGAGATTAAGTTGGCAGTCTCTAATATGCATATATTTAAATATTTTCCAAGAATGTGCAACTTTTTCCAATTGTAATTAATGTTTACAACATTAATGCAGAATTTAACAGTACTGATTTCGCTTGTTTATTGAATGTGAAGGTAAAAACATTATGTTAAAATCTGTGTGATTTTATATTTAAGCAGACTAACTTGAGTTTTATAAAAGATATATTTGTAGCTTGAAGAATTATTATTTGAGGATGCTTTCATTTTATTTTCCATGATTTATAATGGCAAGCCCTATTTCATTTTTCTTTTGATTTTTTTAAATTCAATTTGTCACAACTGTTTTTCTTTTTTTGAGGGGAATGAGGATAACTACACTCCTCCCCACAGGTCACACCTCTGAGTTCCTGCGGAAACAGGCAAGACAAAATCCCATTTGGCCTATAAATACTTTGAAGCAGTTTTTAGCTTCATAATGCCTGGTGCCAATATGGGGGTAGGTTATGTCAACCTTGAAGTCTCTGTTAGTGTGTCATATAGTCACAAAGTTACAAAGATTCTCAGCTCCCTTCACACTGCAAGGCCTTTTTGCTTTTCAGCTACCCTCCTTTCTCCTATTAACTAGAAAATTCTCATCCTACAATAAGCAGCACAGACTTTTTCAGGATAAACATGAAGAGAAAATCTGAAAATTAGAATTTTGTACCTGGCAGCTATTTATTTTTGGTCTACTTCTGGGTTCCTTAGCAATGGTGCTATCAGATAGACTGTAAAGAATCCATATGCCTGTGGTGCCAATATTTTAGCTCTAGGGAATATCACCTCACATGACATTGCACAGTGGAGGAAACAGTGATTTCTTTTTTCCAAAATCAATATTATTTTTTGGACCCTCTCATTCTAAAAGGAAGTTGTAGAATATAGAGAATCACTACATCACAGTTTAAAGTTTACATCCTTCAAGCTGGACTTCAACAATTTCATTTTATTATGCTGCTCATTCTTCCCAACATAGTTTAATTCACCAACAGTATGCAGCCAGTTTTCTAGGAAGAGAGTGAACATATGCAAAGGCCACGATCCCTGCACTTAAGAGACTCGCATTCTAGTTGTATTAGTGCATTCTTGCACTGGTCAGCACTTGCTCACAACCATTCAACAAGTCTCTGTGATGTTCCAAACTTTCTCTCATCTTTCTATCTTCTTCTGAGCCCTCCAAATGGTTCCAACCTTTGCCTATTACCCAGTCCAAAAGTCACTTCCACATTTTCAGGTATCTTTGTGGCAATACCCCAATTCTGGTACCAATTTTCTGTATTAGTCTATTCTCACACTACTATAAAGAACTACTTGAGACTGGGTAATTTATAAAGAAAAGAGGTTTAATTGATTCTGTGGGCTGTAGCCTTCTGCTTCTGGGGAGGCCACAGGAGACTTACAATTGTAGCAGAAGGAAAAGGGGAAACAAGCATGTATTCACATGGCCGGCAGGAGAGAAAGACAGAAAGAGAGTGAAGGGGGAGGTGCTACACACTTGGAAACAAGCAGATCTTGGGAGAACTCTATCATGAGACAGCACTAGAGGAATGGTTTTAAACCATTAGGAACCACCTCCATGATCTAATCACCTCCTACCAGACCCTACCTCCAACTTTGGGAAATACAATTCAAGATGATATTTGGATGGGGACACAGAGCCAAACTATACTACCAGTGGAGAAGGCAAACTTGCATAGGGCTGGCCTACCTCACACAGAAACTTTGCATGAATTTGAAGTAAAGGTGTCTCTTCCCGGTAGATGAGAGAAGCTTACTGAACATATGACACAGTCCAGTGAATTAGAAAAATGCCTCTCTTAACTTAGTGGATGCCGCTTTGTGATGAGACATCGTTGCCCTTGACCGAATGCCCCCATGCAAGGCATATTCTTTGCTGGTATACATA